CCCCCCCCCCCGCCATGAAGCAATACTGAGTTAGATGTCAGTGGCATCCATCTTCAACCAAATCCTTCTTCCAAAATAGCGAAAAAGAAACTGAACTAGACAAAAACTGTTGCAGATCAATTGAAATACAGTATATTGGAGAAATGGCACATGCTGAGTGAAATTTACTTACCTGGACAAGAAAACCATATTCCAAAGTGGGAATGTTTTTGCAATGGCCACCAACCTGCAGAGACCAGATAAGAGGAGAGAGCCCAGCCACGTTACTTGGCACCTGCTCATTCAACTCTTGAAGGACACATTTCTTTTTTCCAGGTACACATGTGGGAGAAGATACGTTGTGCTATCCACAAATCATTCTGTTAGAGTGCTTGGAACTGCTTCTTTTTTGAACTGCTATATAGTGCTCAGAATTTCCTAGCATAGCCACATCGACACATATATAGTCTGAAAAAGTCACTTTTCCAAGCCTTTCTCTTATTACCTGAATAAGTATTCCAAGATATTGTCATCAATAATCCATACACTGGTTATGGCCCATTTCAACTACTACAATGCAACTCACATTGGGCTGCCCCTGAAGACATCACACACGCTGCAGTCACTGCAATGTGTAAGAGCTAGACCAGGGGTAGGCAACCTTTCCCCTTTAAGGGCCGAGGGACTTCAGCTCCCAGAATCCCAAGAGCTATTGGCCAACATGGCTTAGGCTTCTGGGAACTGAAGTCCCTCGGCCCTTAAAGGGGAAAGGTTGCCTACCCCTGAGCTAGATTAATGAAAGGAACGCTTGAAAGGAACCATTTGACTCTCATTTTAAAGAAAATGCATTAGCAATCATATGCTTCTGAATTCAAGGGTTGATTATGACAATTAAACCTTAAAAGGCTTGGGATCTTGCTACCTCTTTAAACCACTGAAATCGGTCACCATTGTCCCCCTCTGTATCCCACCAGTGGGAGAAAAACATTATATAGCAATATGGAGGAGGGCCTTCTCTGCTATGATACTGTGGAATGCCCATACCTTGGAGACCTGTTTGATGCCAGCATATTGGCAGCAAGTTAAAACATGGCTTTTCACAAACGCATTCAGCGCTAAAAATCATGGCATAACTGGGTTTTGTTGTTTTGTTGTAGTGTCTGATATGTACACTCTTTCAAATTAATTACAGTTATTTTAGATTGCCTGAAACCATTTTAAACTATCTTAGATGATCTTACAGTGTCTTACATAATTTGAAATTGTTTTAGATTGCTATTCTGCTACCTGTACCAGAATATAGGGCAAGATATAAATATTTTAATTAACTGAGATAAGATAAATAAAAACCTGTTCTAAGGCCATCTGCAGTGTTCCTATGATGTTTGTCATGGCAGTCTCCCCCTAGTTAATGCCCTCCAGATGTTTCGGACTTCAGTTCCTACGATTCCTCACCAGCGATCAGTTAAGCTGGGCCAATGAGAATTGTAGTCCAAGAATCCCAGGACCCCATGTTGTGGGAAGAAGGTACTATAGCTTTTCCAAGGCTGCCAACTGAATGTATCCCTCCTGAGTATTTGGAATTTGTTTATGAAAAGAAGGAAGTGTTGCCCAGTTGTCTAGGCAGAAAAAAGAGGTAGAATCATATAGAATCATAGAGTTGGAAGAGACCCCCAAGGGCCATTCAGTCCAACCCCCTGCCATGCAGGAACTCCCAATCAAAGCATCCCCGACAGATGGCCATCCAACCTCTGCTTAAAGACCTCCAAGGAAGGAGACTCCATTACACTCCGAGGGTAGGAGGCTAGTTCTGGCCCAGGCTTTAAAACAAAGGACATTTTTTTTCCCTTGGTTACATTCAGTGGCTAAGAGATATCAAAAGGACTCCAATCAACAGCAATCAAAACTGATTGTCATAAATTAGACCTGCGCTAATACTATTACATGGTATAGCAATTATTGGATTATTCCTTTTCAAACTGCACAAAACAGATTCTATTTGAATGTTGCTGCCATGCCAATCCCCCACCCAGCAAAAGTCCCAGTGAATGTAAGGCTACCAGGAGGAAGATTCTGTCCCAACATTGTTCTTGACATACTGGTTTTATACTTGCAGGGAGTTTTGGATTGTGTGCTTTGGGGAAGTGGGGTTGGGTTTTTTTTAATATAAGTGAGCATTTGAATATGGGGGGGGGGGGGGGGGGGGTAGAGATTTACATCCTCAGTCCAAAGTAGTAAAACAACAACAATAATGCCATTGGAGTTT